GGGGGGGAGCGCCCCGGCACCCCCGGGTGCGTCCCCGTCGCCCCCCCGGGGCTGTGGTGGCTCACCGGGCTCGTCGTGCTGGCGGCGGCCGCTGAATCCCGCCCGTTCCTGCGCTGCCAGGGGGGTTTCCTTGTGGGGCTGGTGTAAAATGGTGGGTTATAACGTGTCTTTACAGCCACCGGGGATTGTCCCTGCGTGGGGCCAGCCCGGGCGCTAGCCCTGCCCTCGGTGCTTCTCGGAGGCCCGTTGCAGGAGGAAGAGGAAGGGCCCCTGAGGAAGAAGAACTCTTGCTTCCCCCACATCGCCGCTTCCCAAGGGACCGAGGGGGGCCGACGCCTGCCTTCTCGCTTGCGGGAGAGTGCCGAGGGAGGATGGAGGAAGGGAAAGCACATTCCCCACACGGTGAGCTCTCTGCGGCGCGGGGCGTGCTGTCTGTCCCAAGGGCAAAGCCTGTCCTGTAGGACTGAACCCTAAAACGCTTGGGGCCAGAAATAACCCTTTGGCTTGCTGAGTTGTGCCTCGAGTCACTTATGTCCACTTTAGGGTATGGGGGCTTCAGAGAAGTCCCTTTACTACTCTGTGTACCGGCTAAAATAAAATAAAACTTGCAGGTGTCTCTGGACAGGGACTTGTACTTTTGCTACCTTCCCCTGCGTTTCAGGAGCTTAGCCGCCTGCCGGGGGGCGCTCTGGTATTTAGGGTATGCTGGCGCTCAGCCTCGCTGTTTAAAGTGCCCTTTTTGCCAGATGTTCGCCTGCCCTCTGCCTCTTTGAAAAGCTGTTGCAAGTGGTTTCTTTATGTCTCTGCACTGAACCTACTTTGTTTTGGGTAGAGCGGTGCAGACCATTAATAATCACAGCCTGGATTTTCGAGCATGTTGGGCTTTTCCTCGCAGAGGTGTTTGCTCACCTGGAAATGCTGGAGGCGCAGGCTCGCGCGGCAGACGTGAAGGAAGAGGAAGCGAAGCGGCAAGCGGAGAAGCTGGACAGGCTAAAAGCAAGAGTACGGGAGCTGACATGCCAGAGGGATGAGCTGCAGGCTAAAGTGGATTTACAGCAAAAGGGGGTGAGAGAGAATTTGCTGCAGGGATCTGGGAGAGAGCTCTGGTGTGCTCCTGCTCTCAGGGAGTAGATTTACTGAGATTATTCACACAGAGTCAAATATTATTTTTTTACTTTCCCTTTTTAAATTCTAGAGTCCCCAGTTTTCAGCACGTGTAGTCCTGGGTCTTCTTGTTTGGAGGTCATGTGGCCATTTTTGAACCTTTTCTTGAGTTTTTATTCTCTCTTCTGCTTCGTTTCTCCCCTCTACTGCTTGAAATGCCATCTCGCTTTTCTCAGAGCCAGGTTATTATTTCTCTGTATCCTGACTCTTTTCCCTGCAGGTGACAGATTTGTGTCAGCGATTTCTGACCTCTCTTCTCTCCTGGCTTTTGTAGCAACTTGGGAAAGAAGGAGTCGTGTCGGATCCAGCACAGCCCAGTGCTCACGCTGTTTTAGAGTGGAAGATAAAAAACGTTAAGGATATGCTGCAGGTCTTTTACCTCACAGGTAACGTCTTGGAATTTGCGTGCGTTCTGCCAACAGCTCTATTTCTGGAGTGCTAAATTTTGGAAAATGAGCCTGATGTGAAGTGTAACTTCCCTGTTAACGCTGCTGCTGCTGTGCTTGCTGCCTTTGGAATCTGAAAATGCTGGAAGAGCAGTAAACTTGTAATTCCCTGGCTTTCACAGGAGGCTTCTGGGATGTTGCAGGAACTATTATTTACTGAACTATGTCATTTAGACTGAGGTCTAGATTCTGGAGAACATGTAACTACCTTAGGAATGAAATCTTTGCGAATTAAGCACTTAAATATCTGGTAGTCTGGGTCTTCCAAGCAAGCTTGTGAGGTCAGCACCCTCTTTTCACCTACTCCTGGGCTTTTTAAAAAAACTTTTTGGTTTCCAATGAGAGTCACCTTTGCTCTGTGTTCTGGAGAGCGTGAGGATGTGAATCCTGCTTGACACACGTGGGCTGAGCCCCGCCACGAGCGCTCCTGCCGCAATCCTTGGGGCGGTGAAGCCTTCCTCCACCTTCCTCCCTGTTCCCTCTGTCGTGTTGGTGTTTGAAATCGGTAACGTAACGCAGTTACTGGGAATTTATGCCACCGCTAATTAAAAAGTTGCCGTGTTTTCTGTCCCTAAACCCTCGCAAGTCTTTAGTCCTCTGAGGGACCTCCCAGAGCTTCCTCATGAGAGGACGCAGCCCCTCTTGCAGTTGGTGTTGCCCTGGCAAAGCTGCCCCGTGGTGATGAGTTAGCGCTGAGTAACCCCCCCTCTCTCTGCACCCAAGGGATCAGTGGGAAGCTGACCGAGCAGGGAGTGTGTTTCTGCATCAGCACAGCTTACGAGGGCACCTACTTGGATTCTTACTACCTGGACCTGCTCACCAAGCCACAAGTGTATATTTTCCGGCACTCCATCCCCACCTTCATCCCCCTGGCGCAGCTGGCCAAGAAATACTTGCAGACGGACATCAGGCGCTTCTTGTCCGTCCTGTCCAACCACCTGAACGCTTACGCTGCGAGGAGGTACCAGGCAGACCAGTTACAGGTACCAGTGGCCACAGCAATGCTGCTCTCCCGTCCTTTTCCCTTTGATGGACTGAGTTACGAACGTCTAAAGCGCGTGGGGGAATCTCAGCAGTTTTCTTTGTGGTTTTTCTTTACGTTCTGTTTTTTAGAACTTCACAAATTATCATGTGACTATAAACTCGGTCGCCCGTTTTGTCAGTTATGCATGTACTTGGATGTTGTCTGGTGGCTTATTTAAAGTTTACCCCCAAACTATGGAGGTCCGTAAGCTGAAATAGCTGAGATGTTGTAAAAACCTGCTGGAGGATGTGGCTTAAGGCATGAGCACTGGTTTATTTAAGTCTTTCCCATGCGTGGGTTGCTCGATGTACGTGCCAGGCTGGTAGGGAGGGTGGGGGCACTGCACTTAGCGAGCTCCCTTCCTAGCTTCATGTTTCAGCACTCGTCTTTGTCCCTCCAGGAACACTTTTCGGACCAGATAGAAGGAACCTTGCAGACAAACTCCTTGTGTAACTTGCTGGTCTTTAATTACAACGTGTCAAATAAAAGCAAGACCTTTCCCTTCAATGTGAGGCTGCTTTACGGAGATCTCTGCTCCAGCGTCCCCACTAAAGTCACCGTTTCCTGCACGCGTAAGTGATCCGTGGGGTGGGGGTCTGTTGGGGGATTTGGGGTGAGCAGATCATACTGTGGTTCTGGACAGGTTTTCTTTGTAGTTGAGTTTGGGGACAAAAGGGAAAATTATTTATTATGTCATATTTCTGAGGGAGAAAAGATGATATAAGGGGTTGTGTGCAGTCAGTGCTGGGTCTTAAAGCAGTTGTAACTCATCCCTAGCACAAGAGCACGGATCTCTTGCAATCCTGGCAGTGGCTGGAGGGAGGGAAATACGATGGGGCTGAGAAAGGAAAGGTGTGAGCGCCAGCTCGGATTGCTTCAGGCAGACAGGCTGCGCGTTCCCAGTTTGTGATTACTTGGAGTGCAGACTCCGGTACGGTCCCAGCAAGAGCAGGATATTGGTTGGGTAAGTGTCACAGGTAAATCCCAGCCTGTGCTAGTGCACTCTGGGCACGTGGGAGAGCCTGGTGAGGCAGTGCAGGCAGAAGCTCAGATGTTGTCGGTCTCGGTCAACTTGTGGCCTTGGACGCGTTTCTGATCCTTGAAAACCTGGCGCTCAGCCCCATGGCCTTTCTGTAGGGTGGGGGCTAGTTGTGGGCAAATAAAACAGAATCTTGTCAGCATCAGAAACTGCTTGCCGTCAGTGCAATTAGATAAATGACTAATTGAGGCCTGGTGTTGGGGTGTCTCGTATTGTGGGGGTATTGATTGACAGCTGGGTGAACAGGAGCCAGCAGTGTGCCCAGGGGGCCAAGAAGGCCAATGGCATCCTGGCTGGTGTCAGCACTGGCGTGGCCAGCAGGGACAGGGAAGGGATCTGAGCCCTGGGCTCGGCACTGGGGAGGCTGCCCCTCGATTCCTGGGTTCAGTTTTGGGCCCCTCACCTCAAAAAGGCCATTGAATGACTCGAGCGTGGCCAGAGAAGGGCAACGGAGCTGGGGCAGGGTCTGGAGCACAGGTCTGCTGGGGAGCGGCTGGGGGAACTGGGGGGGTTCAGTCTAGTTTAGTCCCCTCCTGGTATGGCAAAGCCTGACCTCAATGCTGAGTGCCTTGTGCAGCCCCAGCCCCATGGCCAAGCTTAATCCTGGTTCCACACTATTTTCCTCCTACAAATGCCAGTGGGCTGAGGAATCCTTTGCCTCCCTGTGTGTGTCCCGCTCGCGGCTGGCTGGGCTGTGGAGCGTGAGGACCGACGTGCAGCTAGATGGAGCTCTGAACTGGGCAAACTGGGATTGATGATTTTTCTCCGCCATCAGGCTCGGTCTCAGGCCTGCTTCAGCGAGCTCCTTGGCTTGCAGAGAGGCTGGAGGAGTCGCCATGTACTGTATCAGCAGCTCCCCCTCTCTTTCCTCGCAGTAGCCATCCCTTCATGCGTAAAGTTCTGCCTTTCCTCACAAATTTTAGCGTGTTCTGAGCTGAGTGAGCAACTCGGTGGCTGAAGGCGCTTGTGCTCTCTGCAGCCATTCAAATCCCAGGGGGGGAGCTGCAGGACAGCGGAGGCTGAGGGAGGAGCGAGAAGGACTATGAGAAGAAAAACCGCATTTAAAAACTCTCTAGGGATGAGGGAAGAATGAGACACGAAGAGTTTTACTCTGGCAATATGATTTTTTTTTTTTTTTTCCCCTTTACTCACTGATCCGGCCGCTTCTCCTGCCAGCGGAGGCTCCTGCATCTCTGGCAGAGAAGGCAGCAGCTCACTCGGACCTGTTTTGCCACATGGCCCTGCACAAAGCCTTCCGCTCCTTCAGTGACACCGGAGCACCGTGAGGTCCCCTGGCCCTCAGGACTGCGCCTGCGAGCAGGGACTGAGCTCAAAATTCAAATATTTTCCCCGGACTGTGGCATGCTGCCGGGAATTCCCCCCAGGGAGCATCTTGGCCCAGTTTGGATCTCAACAGCGATGTTTCCTTGAGGCTTTCGGGTGTCTGTTGTTGCAGGTAATCTTTCCTCAGTGCTTGTTTGAGTGCTGCAGAACTCCACGCTTGCAGGAAACATCTCAGCTGGAATCAGAACCTATATTAAAACTTTGTGATTTCGGTGCTCTGGGGGCAATGCCCTGTGGGTCAGCACCGTGCACTGCTCCAGTGCACCTCAAAAAGTGGGAAGCAAGCGGAATAATCTGTTCCCTGCTTACCACAGCCAGGAAAAGACTTCGTGTTAGAAGCTGGAAGGGGTTGAGGGACAAAGGTGAGGTTTAGTCAGTGCCAGCAGCAACCCACCCTCTCGTGCGGGCTGTGTTAACCCCCCCCAAAGCACGAACACCAAATTTTCCCAGAAAATTTCACACCAGCTGTAGCTTTACGCATGTTATTTCCTTCCCTTCAGGCACGGGGCAGATTTGCTGGTGTCCCATTGTCTGGATCAGGTTTTTAAAATCTTGCTGCTTGGTCACAGTAATTTTTAAACTTGTTAATAAAAGTTGTATGTTACTGAAATTGTGATATTTTTTTAAATCCTCTTGGTTTGAGCTGTACAACATGGGTTTAAATAACAGTATTTTCTCCTGTCTCATTTTTACGCCGGTCCCACATGTGTGAAGCCACAAATGAAAGTGATTTAGAATTTTTTTAGTTGTTTCTGTAATTATTAGAGCTCCTTGTCCAGAGCCAACTGGACAACTTGTTTGGGTGGGGGTAGCTCCAGGCAGCGATTCCTGCCCCTAATACTGAGTTTCTCATGGAGGAAGGTGCATGGGGGTGAGCATTCACCTGGGCTTTTGAATATCTGTTCCTGATGCCAGCTGGGCAGCAGCAAAAGGCATTTTCAGTATCCTGCATCACTTTTAATTCTGTGGTTGTGTTTTCTTCTGCGAAAAAATACTTGGAAAGTGGAATAAAGTGCTGCCTGTGCCTGAGGGCAGACATGAGGTTGCAGAGGATGGACTTAAGCAGGAGTCCCAGCCCAAACCTTGTGCACCTGAGGGGAGGCAGACCCTTGACCTTGCCGGGGGGTGAAGGTCCAGGTCATGCTTTTGGGGGAAATCCGTGGCAACTGGACACTTAAACTACCAGCGTGAAGTGCTGCAGCTTCTCCCTGAAGCAGCTGTGGCAAAGCTGGGCTTAACCCACGTCTTGGGTGTAATTGCCGGTGTGGGGCAGAGGGAGGCTGGTCTCCCCACCCCTCCAGGCTTGCCTGGCAGGGTGCAAACGCCCTCGCAGGGTTGTGTTTGGTGCAGATGAAGGTTTCTTCCCCCTCCCCAGCATCACTCTGGATCCCTGGGGGTGCTGCTTGTACCCACAACCGGGCCCTGTGAAAGCCCGATGGCGGATGCGGATTTTTATTTAAAAAAAAACCAAACCAAACAACCAAAACCAAACCAACATTCCCTCATAGGGCTGCTCAAACCCGTCTCAGAACAAAGCAGGCACCGAATCAGGCTTTGAAATTCAACTGCTTCTATTCAAGAAACTAGCGGCGTAATTACACTCTGCCAGGTGCCTGTCTCCTCCCTCCCCGGCCCCACCAGCGCTGGGTGAACCCCCCCAGTCCCCTCCTAGGCCGGGCTTTGCACCTCCCTTCCATCAAGCAACAGCAAAGTGACCGCAGCGTGCACAAGGCAGCGTCCGGACGAGCGTGAGCCCCCCCCTGCTGCGGGGAGGGACCGGGCACAGTTAAAAATATAAATGTCAATCTGTACTCTTATATATATTTATATATCTGAAATACACAATATCAGCTTCTCCTTCTTTTTCTTCCCCGAGTCAAAGGCGACCCTGAGCTCTCCGTCTCCCCCATCTAACTATGGCAGTTTGGGACGAGGATGAACTTGGTACGAACTAACGGCGAACCCTGGGGCGCTCCCGGTTTGCAGCTCCTCGGCACGCAGGAGAGAGGCGGCGTCTTCCCAACCGGCCCTGAGTTTGGATCTCCAAGCGCCGCGGCCAACGTCGCCACCGGAACGTCCCGGTGATGCGGCCGCCAGCGCGGTGAAGCCCGGGGAAAGGCCCCGTGCCCCGCGGGCTGGGGCGGGGGGGGCTGCCAGCTTGCGTGAAGGGTCTCTCCCTCCTGCTCGGGCCGCGGGTGCGTGACGGAGTGAACCCCCTCAACCTCTGGGAGCTCGGAAAGGGTCGTGCGAAGGGGTTGGTTGCTCAAAAGTTTGCTTTCGGATCCAGACCGCGGTAGGATGGACGGCGTCGGCGCCGGGGGGTGGTGGCGGGGGGTGACGCTGGACCCTCATGAGTTGTCCACCACCTGATGGGGCAGGGTGACGGAGGAGCCGTTCACGAAGGAGCCCTGCTTCTCCCGGCCCTTGAGGAAGAAGGTAAGCAGCTCCCCTTTGCCCTTGACGTAGATGGCTCCCCGGCGCACGAAGCGGAAGCCGTACTCCTTCAGGATGAGGTGGGTC